GAGGTTTTCCTCCTTTTATAAGATTTTAAAATCGTGTGCGAAAATTTTCTAGTACTTTCTCGAAATCAAAAAGAGATATTTATTAAATGTTAAATGCACACGCTCTTGTATTTTCAATTTTACGGCTTAGCTTTCCTTTAATATTCATCATGCGCTGCACTGCGCAGGAAATAAAACCATTTAATTTACAATTCAACTAACATAAGCTATTTAAATACCAAATCCACAACAATATCTTAAATTGTAAGCTAATATATGCCAAGAAGCAAAACTTCTGATATTATGACCGGGTAAAGCCGGTCATAACATTCAGAGGGTTAAATAACCATCTTTCAAGCCACAGAAAAATTGTTAGAGAGATGGCATGGATTTATCAATTCATGAATTTGCAAAAGCAAGAGACAAGAGAATGGCAAGCTTACTTGCCATTGAACTAAATGATGCTGTTGAATTTTAACTTGGGGTGATGTTAACTCTTTCGCATCGAAGTCGCCCCAAATGCCCGAGCATTCAGACATCGGCTGGACGCCCGAAATGCCTGAATAATTTCCTACCCAGTGCTTTCCCCCATCACGTTACTGCATTACTCATTGCTTTCAGGTGTTGTTAAACCACATGTCAATCATTCTTTTGAAGCTACAAGTAGCTTCCTTGTTTCCTTTTTGTTCCTTCCTTTCCTTTGTTTACTGTCAGTGTTTAGCTTTTGATGCCCGAAGTTGCAATCCCGTCCCAAGGGGGAACTTCACACAGTGTCAAAGCGTCGAAGAAAGAAGTTCTCGCTTTACTTAAGTAAGGCTATTGTTAGCGCTGTAAGTATTCAATTTGTCATGGGGGAAGGAAAAGCATTCCAGGAGAAATTCTTAGATACGGGCGTTTTCGATGTTTGGGGAATTGAGATTTTGCCCTCTCTCGATGCGAAAGAGTTAAGAGTTTTGGCATAGTGTGAAACTTGGTTTCCTACCAAAGGTGCATACTTGCTGAAAGTGAAACATAATTTTAATAGGTGCTTTTCTTGAGCTTAACAAAACAGATAAACAGGATATGTCAGCAGGTACTTGGTTGCAACAATTACATATGGTAGAACATATAAATGTTGTCCAGGACATTTTGCTAGATTCCTATTTACATTCTAGTCTTTATTTTGGATTCTAGCCTTTATTATGCATGTTAGGATTCCATGCATCACCCGAGTTTGTTATTGCAATGCATGCGAAGTCGTGTCCACATTTGGGAAAAAAAAGCAGTAGATTTACAATGGGAAGGGGAAGGGAGGGAAGATGATGGCTCTTGGGAAGATTCATCAAACAGAGAACAGAGACTATTCAAACTGATGAGAATGCTGATTTGAACGAGGGAAGAATATTAGTGTTCTGGAATCCCATTTAGGGTGAGTAAGGCACACAGTTCTGCTCAAGAGAAAGAATGTAAACAAAATAAAGTTTGCAGAAAATAATTTAGAGGTCTTTTGCGCGGGAACAGTACCATGGTCATCCAAAGTACGTACAGTACCATCTTAGGAAATATATTTTTTAAGTACATGTAAGTAATGTATCGGCAGAATCGAAGGATCCACTGAAAATTCAAGTTTTAAACAAGTAAATGCCACGGGTTTCTTCTGAAGATTATGGTATTTTATATTATTTGGGCTTTGTATTCTGTTATTTTACAGTTATTCCTTACTACCTATACATGCAATTTAAGAATCAAGCATTTTTAAACCTTTTTTTATTATTATATTTTTGCGAAGTTCAATTTAATTCTCACACTGCAAGATGGAATGATGATATATATTAATATACTACACTAGCACTTGTGCCTTCATTGCAAAATAATTTTTTCATGTTAAAGATTTTTTGTGGTAATAACGATATATTCCTAAGTTTATTTTGATTTGTGATTTGATTCAACGAAAGAAAAGAAACTTTTGTAACACCAATCCCTTTTTGGTTAAAAGAAATATAAGAAATCAAACTTTGTGAAAAGAAACATTTGTAAACTTTTAACTGATTTGCAAATGTATAATTAGCCCTGTTCTGAGGTACAGAGCTGGAACATGCTCATTGACTGAAGAGGATAAAGAAATACTTGCAGGCATTGAGAGAAAGATTTAGAGAAGAGTTGTTGGAGGTATTCAGATATCTGGAGTAGAAGAACCTGTTGGTATGCATATAGTGATGGACTATCGCCAATAGCACGATAAACTGTATGAACTGGAAACCCTGCAAAAGAGTTAATTGTGTAACACACTTATTCTACACACTCACTTTTCTCACTCCTTCAGGAAGGGACAGTGATATGACACTCTCTATAATATAACTCCTTTTTCAATATGTATTTGGAATACTAAAGAAATTATCTATTTTCATGTATTAATAAAGAATATGTTTTGTGATCTTACAATTTCCGTCTACACCTATTTTGGATTACAAGTTAATTAGGTATGATCTCGCTTGATGCTGCGCTGAATACAAGGTAAGAAGGATCATTTTGCTCTCTATCTTTATTAATTTTGTTGTGAAATTTCGAGGCTATAAAATGTTTTATAACAAAAGATTATGAGTCCTGATGAAAAGATCATAGCTAATTAAATAATAATAAAGAAAAAAAAACTGTAAAAGCTAAACTGTAGTTTCATATCAAAACCGAAAATAAATTTTTTCGACTATACAAAAATGTTGAATTCAAATCAAATGCAAATTGCAAAACTGAATTCCAGCAATTACTCAACATAGAAATTCAAAATGCAAATGCTACTAATTAAGGAGGATCTTTACGATGTAATCGAAGATATACCTCCAAGCCCCATTACAGAACAATGGAGTAAACGGGATCAGCAATGTCGAGCAATGATAAATTTACTTAGCGAAGACAGCCAAATAATTTACATTAAACATGAAACTACTGCTAAGCCACCTGGGAAAAACTCAGGCAGGTACATGAAAGTTCTAATCTTTGAAGGAAACTATTTCTTTTGCGAAAGCGTTACAATTTGAAGCTTGAAGAAGACGGAAATATGCAAACACATATAAATACTTTACTGGAGTTAGTTGATAAACTCAAATCAATAGGTGAAAACATAAAAGGCGAACACGTTTCAACACTTTTGCTTTGTTTAATGCCTAGTTCTTACGATACGCTCTTGAAGCCAGAGCAGAATCGGAATTGAATCCAGAATTCTTAAAAGGGAAATTAATTGACGAATTTAACAAAAGAGTTGAAAATAATTCATCAGATTCAAAGGCATTTAAAGCCTCATTTCAAAACAAGGCAAAAAAAGTTTTACTCATATTCTCATAAAAATAACCATTTTAGATCAGAGTGTTATCATCTAAAATCGAAACAAAAAAATGAACCGCGCCAAAACTCAAAGATAACATATGCGGATACTAAAACACACGAAGCAAAGAATGTTGGTAACCTCGCGATGAATCAACAACAAACAAAAATTAAAACACCAGAAATCGAATCCAGATGTGACAGCGTCGCTCTGTCTACTAACTACACCGTACATCAATCATCCGAGTGTTTTATTTTCGACAGCGGAGCAAGTAGGCACCTGGTAAATAATAAGAAATATTTCACAGAATATTAACCCATCAATCCGTCAGATATTATAACTGCGAATGGGCAATGTATTAAATCAACGGCGATAGGAACTATCCATTTAAAAACATTAAATGCTAAACAAAAAATAACTGAAGTTCTCTTATCGGAAGTTTTATATGCTCCTGAATTAGAAACAAATTTAATCTCAATTAAGAAAATAACGGAAAAAGGACTTTCGGTTCTGTTTAAAGGAAATAAATGTATGATCATGAAGGGAGATCAGATTATTTTAAAATGTCACGCAATTAACAATCTTTGCCAAATTAAACCAACAGACAGGAATAATGAACCATCAGCTCATGTAGCATTTCAGTGCAAAAATGAGAACTGTGTTTAACTTTGGCATAGACGCCTTGGTCACAGAAACGATGACACAATCAAGCAACTTGTAAACAAAGAACTCGCTGAAGGAATTAAACTAGATAATTGTAAACATGATACCTAATGCATTCAGTGCATAAAATGTAAACTAACTGATTTTCCGTACCCCAAAGAATCGAATCCCAATTAATACACACAAATTCATTTACATATGTTTACAAGCATTATTATTAGGCAGCTTCGATCTTCCACTAAACTAAAGTTATAGAATAACATCAGAGACAGGATGCTTGGAGTGCCACCTAATGGCGAGAGCTATCAATTCATAACACATGTCAAATCTTCCACAATAAAATTTAGCCATTTGTGTGACCATCTGCACTTAATTAGCAAACTTTGAAAAGCTGGTAATGGTAGGCGCAAGGCGCGCTCCTTATCGCCATCACCACAATGGCAAAGCAAGGAGCAGTACGAGTTCTATTTCAAATTAAAGGAAAATAGTAGAGAATTGCTAATGTCAGCAGTACTGTGTTTTCTGGGCTAGTTCATTTTGTGCTACTCAGTACATTAAAGCATAAATTAACTTCAATATAATAGTTCCAACAATAAATTTTAATGTTAGAAAACAGTTTATATAATATTGTATTACACAGTACTTTTCACTTTTTAGAATAAATTGTGTACCTTAACAAGTACATTTACTATTTGAATGAACAAAATTTAACTTGCAATAACTATATATAACCTTTGTATGAATAAAAATATTCTTTGTAAACAGTATCTTCACTAAGTTTTATCTTCATTTTCCTTTAAATACATATTTTGCATGACTTTTGAGACAAACAGAGGGCATCCTGTGATTTAAAAAAAATTATAACAGACAAAAACTGAGGCTATGCTTGGATTCAGAGGTCAAAATTTACCCCAAAACAAGTGTTGGAGCTCAGACAATGAAACTGCTGTTCCCCGCTGAAATTTAACATCAGAATAGATATTATAAGATAAAACACAATAAACACACATTATGATAATGTTAGAAACAATTAAAAAATATCAACTGCTTAATAATTTACCTAATCTATAGCGAATAGTTCCTCTGTTATAATAAGCAGCTGCTAAAGAATTGTTCATCTGAATGGCCTTATCATAGAAAGAAACTGCTCTATCAAATTCCACCTTTTTGTATAACACGAGGCCCAGAAAATTATATACCTTTGCTAAAATTTGATCCCTAATAGATAATTAAATCATAAGTATATGCTTTAATTTCACATTAAAAAAATCTGTAACTAAATAAAACAAAACTGAGATGAATTACAGCAATATGTTTTTACACAAACACATACAAACAATAATAACAGCAGCAAAAGGATGATTAAATCAAAATTCTTGGGAATGTATCAGTACATTAACATATTTTTCCACTCTTGTATATATACTATCCTATTATAAGTTAGATATTAAGATTCTTAATAATAATAATTATAGTCACCATTTTAGGTTAGAATAAAGAGAAGGGTACTTGCATTATCGCAAAGTGGTTTCAATTTATCATCAAGTTGTTGTTTCATTTGTAACCTGAGTAGCTGAATGGTATGGAAACCCTATTATGATGTAATCGGTTGCGTGACTCTGGTAAATTCGTAAGGGCCTTATACAAGCAGAATAATCTCAATAGCAGACAATAATATTAGTTTGCTATCAATGTTTGACAGTTTGCTTTTGCATTTTTTTTTTTTTTTTGGTCTGTGTGATGTTATCAAATTGTATTGATGTAAGTATGCATTTTTTTGCAATAAAAAAGTGTGTATTTCTTAATACCTATGGCTATTCCTTTCAAACGTTTACACAAAATGGAGTGAATCGATTGCAGACATCTTTGGGTATACAGGCAACAGTTTATCTTATCCATTTATAACAAATGTCATTTCTTACTAATTGATGCTCTAAAATTTTTCTAATTAGAAATTTTGCTCTATCTGTTTTCGTTTTTGATTTGCAATGCCTACCTTCCAAATTTTTCCACCAGTGGACTGCTGTTGTTTGCATAGTCACTTTACTATACCATTACCTAGCCGTAGCTCTCTCCACTTACAAGAATTCTCAGGGTTAAAAGGACTTTCCTATGCATCCTGTATATTAAGTTAAAATTTAAAACTAAACAAGCAAAAGAAAAACAAGTAAGAATTATATGATAGATGCAGCCTTTTAGAAAAACATGAAGTTTGTTAATAGTAGGTTTTCTTTACATTTTGAAATACAATAAGTAGCAGGTGAATTAAGTTCTTTTTTAATTAGAGAGAAATAAAATTTTGCTTATGATGCGGAAATAATTGCCGTTTTTCTTGAGCTCAGAAAAAATTTTTATGGATAAAAATGGAATTTGCATTAGAAAAGCCAAATGAATAGAAAAAATTTCTGCCGTACAATTATAGAAACGATTATCTTATTTGTTACTAACTTGAACATAAAAAGCCTACATTTAAAATTATAAGATTTTGAAGGAAAAAAATGCAATTCGGTGTCAAAAGTTGGATGCATTTTGTAGGTCTTAAACATGAAAGTAAAACATCTGATACGATTATGAAATCCTACCAAACATGAAAGTTGGTGGAAATGTTACCAATCATACAAGAAGTTTAAATGAACAGAATTTTTTTTTTTTTTTTCTTTTTTCTTTTTTTTCTTTTTTTTTTTTTTTTAAGTTACATACTGAACAGATACAAATTATGGACACATGAAAAACTTAAATCACTTATTATAATTTTTCTCATTACACTGGCATTGTTCATCCATTTTCAAAGGCACATACTTTGGCTTTTTTTTATGCCTCAATCCTGTAACTTCGAAAATGCTGCACTTCCTACTATTCTAAATATTAATAATTTTTTCTAAATGCAAGGGAAAAATAAAACTTACATTCTTCTTTACAAAAATTAAAGCAACTAATCAAGAATTAATTGAGTTTACATTAAATAAAATGAAACTCTTATGACTGTAGCGTAACATCATGCTAATCCAATACTGGCACTAAACTACACTATTTGGGGACAATGTAAATCTGTTAATAGTATTACAAGCTTTATAATGTCACTAAAAATCTCGGCTAATCTTTGGAATATGGTAACAGGTAGTTTGGCGACATTTTGGTAAAGCGATAAAGGTTACTAGCTAGAACTTAGTCAAGAGTGTGCACAATGCCATTTTTGCGCAATTCTGGGATGTTTTTTTAAGTGAAAATAGGTCGACGTGTACATGGATACCGTGCATATGCAACGCGGCAAGCAGTTTGCGATTCTGCACTTTCTCCCAATTTCGCAGCTAATCTTCGTCATGATTAAGCATTTTTGTTCCATAAAAGTTCTAGCATAAGCGTAATTCGGCTAGCAGATTGTTGGAAAAAAATTTTGAGTAAAACAAAAAACATGCCTTTACTTCGTGAAAACAAAAAACTAGCAGGTTGCTGTAGCAGGGTTGGTCGCCAAATTTTCGCCAAAAAATTGCCAAGTTACCATAATCCAAAGATTAACCAAAATCTCTTACTAAATTTTTTGAAGAAAATACTTTCTAAAATATTCCAGTTGCTTGAGCTTTACAGTTAGCTGTATACCGTATAGTCAGGCTTTTCTATTATGTAGCTACACATTTTGTAGCCACCAAGGCATATTGCACATAGGCCTCTAATAGTATAAATGAAAACTTGCCAATCATTTGTAAAATAACAAATTATCTCAAGAAAAGATATTATTAAAGTTAAAACCATTGAACACTCTAGGCTCTTCTGTGTTATAGTTCTCACCAATTCTGTATGGAGATGAACTCCACTTACAGGTGTCATTCACTTTAGTAATTTTATTTTCACAAAAGACCTAAATTTATACTTTTTCAAATTAATGAAAAAATCTGAAGAGAATTTTCACTTTTACAAAGAATAGTAAAAAGCAAAATTTGGCTCAGTTTTTGTTTTGTGCAATGACTAAAATGTGACTAAGTAAAAAATGATATATAGATTTAAAGCAGGTTTTGCAAGGTATTTTAACTACCTATGAATCATTTTGCAATAAAATAAGGTGTCAGTCTTGGAAACCAAACTAATAAATTGATTAAAACGCTTTCATCAGCCCACAATACAACAAATTTTGACTTTCAGTACTAGCAAAAAACAATAAAATTTTAAATACAGTAGAATATAGGAAAAGGATATCAACATATGATCTTCACAGTCTTCCCTGTACTGCATGCATTGTATCTTCAGGGGTGAATGTACTACATAACTTTAGAAGTTTCAAAGTGTTTCCACTCTTTTCAGTTTGGAAACATGACGTACATTGGGTATATACTATTTCTATTACCGAAGGGCCCGGGTTTGAATCCCAGAGAAGGAATGGATGTAAAATTATCTATCCCTTTATCGGAGGTAATGGTGGCTGCCTATTAAGTGCTTCCACAATAAAATGACCACCACTGCTGACCTTAGGGGTGGCCAATGTCGTTAAAGTGCCCGCTGTTGGAAAAATAAATAAATAAATAAATAATAGGAGATTTTTGAAGATCTAGAAACAAAGATATTTTTGATACAGTAACTAACAACTGCTTTGCTTTATGCAATTTTGGTTAAAGCAAGGTTCCACAGGAATGCACTATTTTTACAAAGTGAGAGATGTATGCTAATAACAAAGTTTTAATTACCAACTCACTAAACTATCAAGAAGCTAAAACTAAACTGCAATGGCAGTAATTCAAATTGAGCAAATATTTTGAATTGAAAAATTAAATTAATTGAAAAATTTGATATACAAAGTGAAAATAAATATTAATGGAAGTGAAACTCAAATTACTACATTTAAAATATATAAATTTAATCATCTGGTAAGATTCCAACATCTGGCATCAATAAATACTTAGTCATGGCCTAAATGTAAAATATCTAGCAGTGTTTTATATTTAAAAAAAAATTACATAAACTTTCTGCAGAAGAAGCAACCTCATTTCTATATGTAATTTATATATCTCATTTCTCAGTTTGGTCTTAAATACCACAGATTCTTTCAACTAGAAAAAAATATAAAACTTGATTTTTAAACAATGACTATAAATTTTAATTTTTGAACATAGATAATTTCCTAAATGGATTATAACAAAAATAAAAACTATATATTTCTTGCATTTTTGCTCACCTTTCTAAGTCTGCTTTTTTTCTTTCTAATAAAGAGATGATATTGACAAGAAGTGTTTCAGCATCATCGTAGTTTCTACTGTTCATAAATTGCTGGCTTTTGTTCAGATCAGAAATGAGATCCATGTTCTAAAACAGAAAATGAGCTTTGTAACGAATAAATACTTTCCAGGCTACTTTATAAAATAACCTGACCATAAACATGGCACTATTATTACTTAAATAAACAAATATACACACATATGTACATTTTTTATTTCTTTAGTTCCAAATAAAGTAAAAAAGGTACTTTTCCATTTTGCCGCTGGAAATAATACAGTCGCTAAAAATAGTACAGTACAAAGTCCGTAACCCGGACTCGTTGGGACTTCGGCGATTCCGGATTAAGGATTTTTCCGAGTTATAGATCATCAATTTAAATCTGGTACGATGGCATGCAGAAATTATACAATTAAAAATATGAAACCGTAATTTATGAAATAAAGAGCAATTATGATCTAAAGGGTATCAAAATTTACCAAAAAAAAAAAAAAAAAAAAAGCTTAATATTTATTTGTTTACTTTATTAAACATTTCTTCAATGTAAGTTGTTTAGGTTGCTTCATTTTTTGTGCTAAATGTGCATGCATAAAGCATAAAAAAAGGTTTGTGGCTTTGAGGTCCGGATTATAGATCATTCCGGATTACAGACTTTGTAGTGCACAACCAATGCCAAACGCAATATACACGCTGGTAACTTTTCACGCCTCATTTTCAAAATAAGTCGCAGCCATTTTTTATCAGATTGTTTCTTTCAATACTGGCATAAAATTACAAATAATTTTTACCAGATAGTTCAATTTTAGGCTCCAAGGCCATTCGCGGTAATTAATTCAATTAGGATGCAATCACATACCCGAAGGTGAAAATATAGAAAAGGCAAAGTCAAGGGTTAAATTCCTCAATTCTAACGAGAATGCACTAGTGAAGTAAAACACTGCAGTTTTACATAATTTCTGAGTAAACTATTCGTATGAATTTAAATAATTCTTGCATTTAAACTTGTATTCCAAATTAAGATTTAACTTGAAATTAACGTAGATAATTACTGAGAGAATTAGACTTTTGTAGTGTAGTTTACATGGGATATCACTTGGGGTCACGTGATGTAGAACGGCAAATCAGGATGTTGTACTATGAAAGCATAGTAAATTCTTAAATCAATGTCTTTTTACAAATTTTTCGTCTTTGTTTTTATCTTTTGTCTTTTTACAAAATTTTAGACGATATTAAAATGTTTATGCCTTCAAAATAAAAATTTCTTAGAACTAACATTTGTTAAATTTTTTATGTGTATACTGTGCGTTGTTGCCAATAAAGTCTGCTTGGCGAGATTTGAGCTGCCGAAACGAAAAAGTAACATAAAAAATTAAAATTATGCTGGAAGATGTGTTTTAATTACGTAAAAAAATCACAGAAAAATTCTGCTTATGAATAGTACATTTTTTAAAGAAGCCTGTTTCTCAAATGAGTTTGCGACTGTGTTTTGTTTCTATATATCTGATAAGACCGAACTACTCTTATATACGCCCTCGGTTGGCTACAAATTTCTCGCCTGCGATATTACTAAATAAAATTTGGCTGATCTTTGGAATATGGTAACAGGTAGTTTGGCGACATTTTGGAGGCGATAAAGGTTACTACCTAGGACTTTGCTAATAATGTGAAAAGTACTCAGTTCCGATTACGCATTATTTTGTGTGAGGGAAATGAGAGATCATGAGATATGTCATGTGACATTAATGGACGAATTACAGTTCTTTAATTGGAAAAGGGGGTAAATTTGGAAAAATGGCCCTATTTTGTATTAAGCTTCAATCTGAAATGTGTTGTACTGCAAATTAGTGTTGATTAATTTTCCAAAAGAATTGCATGGCGCTATGTAAGTGAATTCTAAATTGTGGATAATGCGTTTATCTGAATAATCCAATAATAAGTTGAGATTGTGTGAAAGGAAGGATATTACACATAAGTTTGAATGGCTGGTACAAGAAATCTGGTGAAAATGGACATTTTGTGAAACGTAAGTGTAAGGAAGGGTACGTGGTTTGCTGAAAGTAGTTTGAGTATTTGTGAAATTTTATTAATTTCTTATTACTTGGTGAATAGACTGCCAGTTGACTACTGGATTTCGGATTTAGAAATTAGCAGTGGTACTGCAGCCGATTGGAACTCTTTCTGTAGGGAAGTGTGTGTGCCACACGTAATGAAGATTCTGAAGAAGATTAGGTAAGTTAATATTTTTAATCATTTGAGGATATTATTTTTATGCATTGTTCTAAATGTAAGGAGTAAATAAATTAATATGGTATTATTGGAAAATTGTTATTAGCAATGATTTAGTTTAAAGTAATTACGATTGTAATCTAATTTTTATTAATTTAATGTATGTGCTTATTTATATTTTAAGTAGTGTTTTATAATTTAATTATATTTTAATTTAATGATCGTGATTTTGTGAGTTATATGTTTGTAGTATTTTGGAATACGTTTGAGTATTTTCATGCATTTTCGTTAAATTTTTCTAATTTATCAGAAAAAAGCAGTGTGCATGGATATAGTGAAGAGTGTGCGCAATGCCATTTTTGTGCAATTCTGGGATGTTTTTTTAAGTAAAAATAAGTCGACGTGTACATGGTTTAGTTATATTTTAATTAAATGATAGTTATTTTGTGAGTTTTATGTTTGTAGGAATTTGGTATATGTTTCAGTTGAAGTAAACGTGCATGAAAATAATTTAAATATTTGACACTAAGTATTTGTAACCATTTTTAATGTTTGCGGTAGAAATTCGTTGCTGACGTTTATAATATAATAGATAATTTAGAGGTAAAAGTTTTTTGGATAATTTATTTATTTTACACGTGGAAATGTTCATCTTTGGAAAGGGTATATACTTTTTCGCGATCAGGTAATTTCATATATGTTCTTTTTACTGGATTTAAAAATTCACGAAATTTTCATGCATTTTCGTGCAAATTTTTGTAATTTATGAGAAAATAGCAGTGTAGATGGATAAAGTTAAGAATGTGTGCAATGCCATTTTTGTGCAAATCTGGGATTTTTTTTTAACTAAGTCGACGTGTAAATGGTTTATGTGTATGTGGTAGTCTGAAAAACGTGCAAGGAGTTTGCGATTGTGCATTTTTTCCCAATTGTGCAGCTAATATTTGTCATGATTAAGCAGTTTTGTTACATAAAATTTCTAGCATAAGTGTAATTCGGTTAGTAGATTGTTGGAAAAAGTGTTGAGTAAATAAAAAGAAAAGAAAAATGTCTTTACTTCGTGAAGACAAAGTGGCGGCGAAAAAAAAAAAAAATTGAGGGTTGCTGCAGCAGAGTTGGTTGCCAGATTTTCGCCAAGTTACTATAACCCAAAGATCAACCTAAAATTTTTTTATACTTCGAGCCTTAAGCCTAAAATGTCTGCAAAAACCAGTTTATCTTCCATAATCGGGGTGTACGTGAAACTTGGCGAGAGTTTTTCTTTGGAGCGACTTTGATTTGGTTGTGGTTTCCAGCCTTATGTTTTTTTGTGGCAAACCTAGAGCTTTATTTCAATGATTGTAATGACTGCAAGTTTAGTGTAGCAACAGTATATATACATTTTTAAAAATTTAATTTTGAAATACTGGGTTTGTTTTAAAAAGTTTTACTGTTTAATATTTGCAGGAGGTTAAGCTGTTCTTGGTGGGAGAATGTCAGATTTCAGATGATGTAAAGTTTATAATTAAGATTGTTTTCATTTAATTTTATTTAGTTAATGTTTTCTGGGTATTTTTTAATTATTATTTTTTTTTAGTTTTGTTTCTTGCATGTGGCAATCAAAAGATGTGGTATGTTCAAAGTTTTGAACGAAAGTTGTTTAGTGTGTTGAATTCTACGATAATAGTAACTTGCATATTTTAGTGAGTTTATGATACATCCACTGTTAGTGAATTTTAATATAATTAATTGATTAATTTAGAAGTCAAACAACAAAAATCGTTATGGTTGATCTTTGGATTATGGTAACTTGGCGATTTTTTGGCGACCAACTCTGTTACAGCAACCCTCCATTTTTTTTTCGCCGCCATTTTGTCTTCACGAAGTAAAGACATGTTTCTTTTCTTTTTATTTACTCAACACTTTTTCCAACAATCTACTAGCCGAATTACACTGATGCTAGAAATTTTATGTAACAAAACTGCTTAATCATGACAAATATTAACTGCAAAATTGGAAAAAAGTGCACAATCGCAAACTCCTTGCGCGTTTTCAGAATAGGCACATACACATAAACCATTTACACGTCGACTTATTTTTACTTAAAAAAACATCCCAGAATTGCACGAAAATGGCATTGCACACACTCTTAACTTTATCCAGCTACACTGCTATTTTCTCATAAATTACAAAAATTTGCACGAAAATGCAGGAAAATTTTCTTAATCTTTAAACTCGATAAAAAGCACATATATGAAATTACGTGATCGTGAAAAAGTACATACCCTTTCCAAGGATGAACATTTCAAGTATAAAATAAATAAAATATCCAAAAGCTTTTACCTCTAAATTATCTATTATATTATAAACGTCACCAACAAATTTATATGCAAACATTAAAAATAGTTACAAATACTTAGTGTCAAATATTTAAATTATTTCCATATACACGTTTACTTCAACTGAAACGTATACCAAATTCCTACAAACATAAAATTCACAAAATAACTATCATTTAATTAAAATATCACTAAACCATGTACACATCGACTTATTTTTACTTAAAAAACATCCCAGAATTGCACAAAAATGGCATTGCGCACACTCTTCACTATATCCATATACACTGCTTTTTTCTCATAAATTACAAAAATTTCAGGAAAATGCATAAAAATACTCAAACGTATTCCAAAAAAATACTACAAAAATATACTCACAAAAATCACGATCATTAAATTAAAACATAAAAAAAAAATACTTAAAATATAAATAAGCACATACTTAAAATTAATAAAATTAGATTACAATCCTAATTACTTTAAACTAAATCATTGCTAATAACAATTTTCCAATAATACCACATTAATTTATTTACTCCTTACATTTAGAACAATGCATAAAAATAATATCCTCAAATGATTAAAAATACTAACTTACCTAATCTTCTTTAGAATCTTCATTACGTGGCTGCAGTGCTACTGCTAATTTCTAAATCCGAAATCCAGTAGTCAACTGGAAGTCTATTCACCAAGTAATAAGAAATTAATAAAATTTCACCCATACTCAAGCTACTTTCAGCAAACCACGTACCCTTCCTTACACTCCGTTTCACAAAATGTCCATTTTCACCAGATTTCTTGCACCGCCATTCAAACTTAACTGTAATATCCTTCCTTTCACACAATCTCATTTCCACATGTTGGACATTCATACTTATCCGCAATTAATCCTACACTCGTATACCATTCAACCAATTCTTTTGAATTATCAGATAAATGCATTAAAAATTTTGAATTCACTTTACATAGCGCCATGCAATCCATGAAAATTAATCAACACTATTTCGCACAACACACAATGAAGCTTAATACTGCAGCTATAGTACTGCAGATGTTTTTCCATAATTTATCCCCTTTTCCGATTAAAGAACTGTAATTTATTTGTCCATTAATGTCACATGACCATATCTCATGATCTCTCATTTCCCTCACACAAAATAATGCGTAATCGGAACTGAGTACTTCTCACATTATTCCCAAAGTCCTAGGTAGTAACCTTTATCGCCTCCATAATTTCGCCAAACTACCTGTTACCATATTCCAAAGATCAGCCATTGTTATATTTTCAAATATTCACAGGACTACTTTTGATGGTTTTACTGAATCATCGAAACTAGTCCTGTGAAAATTGAAAATATAGCACTGATTTTTTCTTAATTAATTAATACTTGTTCGGCGTGTTATTGTATCTTAATTATATTTACTTGGTTGACAACTTTGGAGTCCGAGGAAAGAGTTATAAAAATTTATTATTTTATTCATTATACTATTTATCATGAATTACATAGATAGGTCTATGTTTTCACTTGCAAAGCTGATGGACTTTGTTTTACTCGTCTAGTGTTTTACCATCTCATTTTACTATTCTGTTTACATAAAATAACGGCATTTCACTACTGCAAAACTTAAAAAGTGACTATTCTGTTTTATGTTTAAAAAATCGCATCTTAGTGCTCTCATTGCCGGCAAAAAAAATTGCCAAATTTTGAAGGCTAAAATAGGCTACGCTTACCCTGCTTTTATGGAAGATTAGCCCCAAAACCACGTTTTTCACACACAATTTATGCCAAATATCCAAAACAAAATATTTACACAGCAAAAACAAAGTTTCTACCCAAAAATATTTGACAAGAATCCATGTGCACAGCAATCTGTTTCAACTTGAAAAAAATCGGAGATCTGCATAATCTACGCAGCGTAAAAATCTAGGAATTATGCACACCTCACTAAAATAAACTAACATAAGAATAAATTTCAAACAATACCATGTACACAGCATTCTGTTTTAACTTAAAAAAAATCAGCGAATTACACAATCAAGGGCTATCTTTGCCATTCTAATTTTGCCACCATGTCTTTAATTGCAACATAAGCCATTTCAAAATGCTCACCAAACCAACCAGCAAATAAAACCCATCCAGCAAAATCAAGTTTCAACACCAAATGGGTTGCCATACGAACACGACGCCAAAAACCATTACAGAATACACAATCGTGCCAAAAACCAGCACAGAACACATATCACCACATTTGGCAACATTATACACTGGTGTGCAAAAATTAAGGACGAGACGGTTTTTTCAATATAACTTTGTACAAAAGCTTTCCAAATCAACACATTTAATACCGTAAGATCCCCAATACGTAAGGACATGAGTAATGTAAGCAACACTTACTAAAAGAGAAATCAGAGGGATAAAAAGAAGCTTTATTGAAAAAGTAGTATGTAGCGCAATGCGACTGAAGGCTGAAACATCCCTGTGATGGGTGTCCAGCAAAAAACATCCAGTCTTTAATAGGGGATATGATTTACCCTGACTGCTAGGCAGGTTTCACAGCATCTGCCCATGCTGAGAATGAGGGTGTCAATGAGTTGTTGAGGCATTGCTGCCCATTCGTTTTGCAGCGCCAATCGAAGCTCCGGAATTATTACTGGTGGTAAGGTAAGAGCTGCCAAGCGTCTGCCTAGAAAATCCCCATACAGGCTTGATGGGACTGAGATCCGGAGATCGTGCCGGCCAATCCATACGTTCAATATCCTCACTCTCTAAGAGCAGTTCGGCAGCTACTGTACGATGACATGGTGCTTTGTCGTCCATGAAAAGGAACTGCGGACCCATAGCGCCTCTAAAACGACGCACATATGGAAGAAGAATCTCGTTACAATAATGGGTCCCGCTGACTGAACCTGCGTCGAAGATGCAAAGGTCTGTAGGACTACCAAGCATGATGCCTCCCCAAACGAGAACACTGCCACCTCCATACCTGTCCCTTTCAATGATGTTCGAGGGATGATTGCAGCTTCCTCGGCTCTCTCCAGATGAGTATGCGATGAGAATCGCTACTCAGACTGAATCTGCTCTCATCTGTAAAGAGTACTCGTCCCCATTCATTGTCTCTCCAATTCCGGTGTTTCCAGCACCACAGAGAACAGCTTCTCCGATGGGCAGGCGTTAGAGGTACATACCGTACAGGGCGTCGTGCAAACAGACCACCACCGTGCAGTCTTCTGGCCACGGTAAAACGCGATATCGGTCGTCCAGTCGCTTGTGTCGTGTGTCTAGCGATTTCTACCGCTGTCTGCTGCCTGTTTCTTCTGGCATGTAAGGCAATATACCGGTCATCTGCGGGTGTGGTTCCTCGTGGACGACCACTACTAAACCCCCGGATAGCTGTTCCTGTAGTTTGAAATTGTCTCCAAAGTCGTGAAACGATGCTGTGAGCAATTCCGAACTCGGCAGCCACACTTGTCACACTGCGGCCTTCCTCCAACTTCCCAATGATTCGACCTTGGGTAAAAGCATCAGATGTCGTCTAACAGATTGATTATTCGCCATTTCTCGCTGAGGCAGCAACTCGGTGTGATTTTAATGCTATACGGCGTGCAATCTCTTTGCCAGAAATACTGATCTTACACCGACAACATGCTTTATATACTCAGACACTCCCCCATTACGTCTACCTGCAATCTGCGCATGTGCTACGTACATCACCTTACTTAATCTCCTGATTGGTCTTTCTGTCCGCTCTGCCTCTTCGTTCAGCAGATATGCTAATTTTTCGACTTCGTCCTTAATTTTTGCACACCAGTGTATATCTGAGGGTGTATATAATAGTAGTACTGATAAGACCATTACTTGCTAATGAGAATTTTAAAGAATACTTATCTTTTTTCCTATCCCAATCAGTAACTTTTTTTTTAACTTTACAAAATATTTTAATATGTGCTTTACCATTGTAGAAACAATTTATCGTAGAACAAACTTGAAATTTCCTTTTCATAGCAGTATCTAATTCCCTTAACCTTTTGAAGACGGGATGGCCATTATAGTGGCCATGGAGTCCTCTTTTTGAAAAGACTGGGTTATCCAATTTAGTGGCCATGTCTTCCCCCCCCCCATTTTCCAGGCTGAAAATTGGGGTGAAATGTCAAATTTGACATCTCTGGGGTTTTAACCACTTATCTCTTTCAAAGGTCTTCCTTTTGTGACATAGATGCACCCCTCTGAGAATCCATTAAACTACACACAAGAATTTTTGTTGCAAATAGGAGGTGATTTCTTAAAAGAGGGAAAGCAGTCGGTTCAAGATTCCCCATCCTTTGGTAGCTGTTGCTGCTACCAAAGCCCCAGCCTCAAAAGGTTAATAAATTAAAGCGAAAAATATTCTATTTTCATGCATTTATTCTATTCTCATGAAGTCAATAGAAGCAATTTTTATGTTACAAACTTTTGTAAGAATACTAAATGCAAACTCTCATTCTTAAAATATAGATTACATACTTCTGTTGCAACAAAACATGGTTTTTTTCATAACCCCCTTCCCGAAAAAAGAAACTTAATTATTTCTTAATTTTAAGTTCTGAAAAACTAATAATTCTAAAATTAAAAACTGAATGAATTTTCAAGTTTTTAATTGAATTAAATGAATGGAAATAATTTACTCATAATACTATTATCTATGAACTAGAAGTATAAATTATACATACCCCACTGTTATTTTAGATCATTGACACAAAATAATGAAGATATATATGCGGTCAGTTCAAACTACATTGAATATTATATCACTAGAGGAAGTTAAATACAAAGATAAATACTTCATAATAAATATCAGTACATAAATGTAAAAATACAAAAAAAAATATTCTTAAATGCAACAGTTGTAAATACGTACAGATAACATTTAACAATAATATTACAACGATTCTAATTTTTCTTTCCACCAAAGTATCTACGTAATACGATTATAAAACTGCTATAAGAAATTATATTTATATTTATCTCCGCAAGCACCTTTCATTCAACCATACAATTCTCACAATTTAAATTCTTTGACGTAACTACGAAAACAAATGTCCTATTATGCACCCGCTAAGTCTTTCTGCTCAGAAAGCCAAAAATCAAATTATGGGGCAAAGGAAAGGCATAAAAACGGAAATTTGTTTCAAGATTAAATTCCAAAATTATATTGGAAAATAAATTCATAGAAAATGATGCGACTTATTTTTTAAAGCAGATTAAAAAAAGAGGTTTTTATTAAAACTAAATAAAATCAAATCCAGTCTACATAAAAATGTATAAATGAACCTTAGTTAGCTAGAGATAATGGAAGAGAAGCGTTATATAACTTAACAGTAATGTATCCTAATGAACAATGTAAAATTTTTTAAAAAACTGAAGAAACCAAAGTGTCTAATCAATTAGAAATGAAGTCGCCTAATCTGCTGTTGTAAGCATGCATTTTACAGTGTAACATGCTTTATATAACGATATAATTTAAAACAATGAAGAATTAAGGAAGTGTGAAGCTTCATTCCCATAGTTTAGCACTCCTGCACATTCGTTTCTTCTTAGAGAAACGAAGCCAAGAAAACGTCTGATCAGGAGTGTGGCACTTTGAAAAATTTCTTAAAGTGGAATTCGAAACTGATTAGAAAAATAATATTCGTAATTATCTGTCTGATGAGAAATTCCTTTTTACAAATAATTGTAATATAACTTAAAACATTTCAAATATGATTGCATATTTTAAACTATAAATTAACGAGAAAGAATAAAGCTGCATTTCGCGCATTTTAAAAACATGTCTGTGCGCCACTAGCATTCATTCTATGGAATGGCTATCTATCCGGAGTTGGACGAGTAGAAACTTCGCAAAATGACACTGGAGCAAACTACATGTGAAGGTAACAATAAAATGCTTTTTGTTGAAATATGACACTTAAAGTTAGATTGCTTTTTTGCCTGAGGATTTCGTATTTTTTATATCTCATCCCTCGTAATCATTTAAATTTCATAATTTAAACTCGTACTAAGTCTGCTGTAAATTATAAATATATTTCAGTAAAATTGATATATAATTGAAATTTATAAATGTAGGAATTTGTTTACAAAATATGATTTAAATTTTAGATTTGAAAGCTTTCGAAAGACGTCTGGTTGAAGTTATCGCTTATTATCAACCACAAACAAAGCGCTGGCGTGGTAAGTCAAAACCTTTTCACTGTGAAAATAATTTTTATGTTAAATGTTACTATATCTTAATGTGTGCCTAACGTTTTATCTTTTAGCTATTCATTAGATGTATATTTCACTACTATTTATTCAGATCGTTGGTTTATTATAAAACAACCATGCTGCAGATTGACACATACAAAAATAATATTAATTTTGGTGATTAAAACAGAGCAAAGTTGAAAAATGAAATAATGGCTATGCAGCAACATAAAGCCTATTAAAGGAAATATTCCAACTTTATATACAGTTTTCCATTTTACAAGGAAGTAAAAAAATTGTGTGTTTTTAAAAGTGCTGTTTAATATTTTGTTGCCAGCAGTAGTGTTATTTTTATAAGTAGACTGGTTATATATACAGTGGCTCAGAAAAGTGATTGGACACTTTAAATTTTAGTATTTTGTAATGAACATAAAAACTAAAATAAGAAAGCAAAAGGAAGGCTTTTATTTTGATTATACATAAATTCAGCATTTTTTATAGTAAATGCATTTTACAAAAGATGAAAATTAAATTCAAAAATCAATAAATTTTGTTTAATGAGGAAAAATATTCTGAGAAAGATAATTGGACATTTTAAGTAATGGCCAAAAATGACAAAAACTTGCATTGTTTTTGCTTAATATCTTGCAGGTAGGGCTGTGGAGTCGGTAAGGAAAATGACCAACTGAAATTTTAAGATTCCAACTCGACTCCCTCATGTAAACATATACACATGGGTTCCATGCACTGACTAATGTTAATATTTACACTGACTGCTTGTCACTTCTCCATGCGCTCTCCCGCACAGACAACTTTCAGTCTATTAATTGTCGAAATTAAGAAGTCATTTAGAAGCTTTGAGTTCACATTTCAAATATTAAGCTACATTGAGGTTAAAGTCCCATACAGGCTTTATTGCTAATGAGAGGGCCGACAGCCTGGCCGAAGCAGGCCGGTCCTTAAATGTTAGTACAATGGATATTGAAGTAACAGGTTCGAAGAGAATTGCTATTCGAAGAAATGAAAGAATTTTACGTTAACACAATGGAAAAGTACAGTGGTTCTCTTCACCTAAAAACAAAGGATTTATTGAACTAATTAAAATCACAAATAAAATGAAATGTATGAACAATATTGATGTTAATCAGGTTTTAACTGGACATGGTAGGTTTCCGTTCTATTTCAACCGATTTAATCTGCAGGAAAATAAATTATGTAATAGTTGTCAGGTTGATGGTGATGCTAGGCATTTCGTGGTTGATTGTAGTTTAACAGGCCCTATGACCGATTTTTAACATTACTGATTTTAATGCAAGTGTCATTAATTTTAAAGTTTTTAAATCATATTCTATTGCTCTAATGAAGTTTATGAATGAAAATAGGGTGCTAGTAGGAATCTACTGTTAAAATTGAATTTTGTATTTATATGGGTTTTAGATATCTGTGGTGTTCTATGTTGTTAATTTGTGTTTATGGATTTTTTTTTTTTTTTTTTTTTTTTTTGTTTGTTTGTTAGTCTGTAATTTTGTGTTAGATGTGCTTATTTAGTTTTGATTTAATATTTTTGTTTGTTTGGGGGTGGCTGGGTTACTGACTGCCCTCGTTTGTGGAGATACGGGGCCTCTTCTTTTGAGCTATGGGGACACTTATGTCCAGGTGGGCTGAAGGGAGCCTCCAATTCTTACAATTCTTACACATGGGTTACAGCCTATTTTTTTAATATAAAAAAGTAATAGATGCTACAGAAAAAAATTAATTTCATAATAAATTATTTATATTAATTAGCATTTATTATGAAATGGAAAAACTGGCATTGGTTATTTCTAAGAAACAGTATAGTTTTGGCCTTCTTTGTTGGAGGGCCATAGATCCAATTAGATAAAACTGAGAAGACTCTTTTCACACTAACTTGAGTAGGAGGAAGAGCAGTTGCTGTTAGGGCTACTTCTTTTAACTTTTCAGGAGAGATTTTTATAAGTTCTAAAAGAGGTGTCGGTGAATCTTCGGATTATGGTAACTTGGCGATTTTTTGGCGACCAACCTTGCTACAGCAACCTGCTAGTTTTTTTTTTTTTTTTTTTTTTTTTTGGATGCCATTTTGTTTTCACAAAGTAAAGGCATTTTTTTTTTTTTTTTTTACTCAACATCTTTTCCAACAATCTGCTAGCTGAATTATGTGTATGCTAGAACTTTTATGGAACAAAAGTGCTTAATCATGACGAAGATTAGGTGTGAAATTGAGAGAAAGTGTAGAATAGCCCACTGCTTACTGTGTTTTTAAGAATTGCATATACACAGTATCCATGTACACGTCGACCTATTTTCACTTAAAAAAAATCCCAGAAATTTGCACAAAATTGGCATTGTGCATACTCTTGACTTTATCCATGTACACATCGACCTATTTTCACTTAAAAAGTCAAAGAAAATTGACAAAAAACCAATTCTTCTTACTTTTGTAAAAAGCATCAAACAAATAAGTGGGTGATTCTACATTTTAGCAGCGAAATTGTTTCTAAGTCCTTATTAGCTAAAATCCCGATTGGAATTTTCCAGAAAATGTCACATTACATGTCTAATGATCTCTCATTTCTCTGAGACAAAATAATCTGTGATTCGAACTGTGTTCTTAATTAATAACAGAAATCAAAAATTCTGATGAAAAGGAAATATGTGGAAGGAACTCAATACACAAATAGAAAGAAAATTATTCTTCAAACATATGTGCAGTTATTATTATGTAAATTACCCAGTTGTTTATAATTTCAGGCTTTACTATAATTTCTCATTTCTATTTCCGGCTGATCTTTGGAATATGGTAACAGGTAGTTTGGCAACATTTTGGAAGCGATAAAGGTTACTACCTAGGACTTTGGTAATAATTGTGAAAAGTACTCAGTTCCGATTACGCATTATTTTGTGTGAGAGGGAAATGAGAGATCATGAGATATGTCATGTGACATTAATGGACGAATTACAGTTCTTTAATTGGAAAAAGGGGTAAATTTGGAAAAATTATTTTGTATTAAGCTTCATTGTGTGTTGTGTGAAATAGTGTTGATTAATTTTCGGGTTGCATGGCGCTATGTGAAGTGAATTCTAAATTTTTAATGCATTTATCTGATAATAATAATAAGTTGAGATTGTGTGAAAGGAAGGATATTACAGTTAAGTTTGAATGGCGGTGCAAGAAATCTGGTGAAAATGGACATTTTGTGAAACGGAGTGTAAGGAAGGGTACGTGGTTTGCTGAAAGTAGTTTGAGTATGGGTGAAATTTTATTAATTTCTTATTACTTGGTAAATAGACTTCCAGTTGACTACTGGATTTCGGATTTAGAAATTAGCAGTAGTACTGCAGCCACGTAATGAAGATTCTGAAGAAGATTAGGTAAGTTAGTATTTTTAATCATTTGAGGATATTATTTTTATGCATTGTTCTAAATGTAAGGAGTAAATAAATTAATATGGTATTATTGGAAAATTGTTATTAGCAATGATTTAGTTTAAAGTAATTAGGATTGTAATCTAATTTTTATTAATTTAATGTATGTGCTTATTTATATTTTAAGTAGTGTTTTTAATTTAATTATATTTTAATTTAATGATCGTGATTTTGTGAGTTATATGTTTGTAGTATTTTGGAATATGTTTGAGTAATATACGTTGAGTATTTTCATGCATTTTCGTGAAATTTTTCTAATTTATGAGAAAAAAGCAGTGTGCATGATATAGTGAAGAGTGTGCGCAATGCCATTTTTGTGCAATTCTGGGATATTTTTTTTAAGTAAAAATAAGTTGATGTGTACATGGTTTAGTTATGTGTATGTGCTATTCTGAAAAACGCGCAAGGAGTTTGCGATTGTGCACTTTTTCCCAATTTTGCAGTTAATATTTGTCATCATTAAGCCGTTTTGTTACATAAAATTTCTAATATAAGTGTAATTCGGCTAGTAGATTGTTGGAAAAAGTGTTGAGTAAATAAAAAGAAAAGAGACATGTCTTTACTTCATGAAGACAAAATGGCGGAAAAAAAAAATAGAGGATTTTTGTAGCAGAGTTGGTCGTCAAATTTTCACCATTAAATCGCCAAGTTACCATAATCCAAAGATCAACCCTATTTTCTCACCAAAATGCAAACCATTTACCCAGTTTTTAAACTGTGGTTTTTGGAGTGTAAGACAGAGTGTGTTTCTGACCTCTGCTTGCTTGCTGCATTAGTTCCTGTCTTCTGTAATAATTTGTAACTGTTCATCTTTGCATTATCGCTGCCGACATTTAAATTTATAATGATAGAGTTACTCAGCTTAAATTAAAATTCAAAGTCCTCAAATGTCCACATTTTTAGTTTGAATTTGACTCTTGTTTAATTACATCACCACAAGCTGTAATTAATTTTGTTAGCATAGGAACATGCCTTTATGTTTTAAGTCCTTTTTTAATAATAGGCTTATTTAACCCATGTTGGACCAGTCTAAAATATTTCCACTGGAAAAACGTAACACTTAAGAGATATCAACAACGTTAGGTAGAAACACGTGTGAAACAAAAATTTTCAGATATTGTTTGTATTTTAATAAGTTACAGGCTGTCCTATTAATAGGACAATGGTCCAATACACTACTACATTTTACAAAAATTTTCCTTACTTACTCAAGAGGCAGTTAGCAATGGGAAAACAGTCAATAGAATTTCAAATATTGCATAATTTGTAAATAGTTGTAGGTTTTCTCTTCCATGTTTTTAACTGGCATTGTCTCTGCCTTTCCTCCGGATTTTTTTATCAATACGTGTTCACTGAGATGAAGAAGCACTTTATTATTTTTCAGCAAACCATGTTGCTTGTTTTTGTGCCTAGGTATAATTCGACCGTCTCAAACGCAACCTTGGCTGGCATTCTGCCAAAACACATACCCTCGTCCAAAAGGGGCATTATTACTTGCTGGGACATGAAAGGTCATGTGAAAGCCTTCTCTTCTCTGGAAAGAT